CCCCCATGCCTCCCTATCTCTGGGGCTCCCGTGCGTCCCCCAACCACCCCCCTCCCTCGCTGTCCTCGGCCTTGGTTGTCTGTACGCCGCCCATGTGGTGTGGGAGGGGCTGTGTTGAGAGGGAGGGGCCCCTGAAGTCAGTCCTGCAAGTTCTGGCAGGTGAATAATCTTTCGGGGCCTCAGTTTCCTCACATGCAAAATAGCGATGGTCAAGGCACCCACTGAGAGTTGCTGGGAGGCTCTAATGAGATAATGGACCACAAAGCACTCGGGGTGGGGGATGGGGGGGCACCTAGCCTTGAGGAGGGCTCCATAGGTGAGTGTTTGTTTATTCATTATTTGTTCTATTTAGTCTGCTGCAATTAATTTGTCGTTCGTCCTGTGTCCTTTGGGCAAAAACTTTCTCTTTTCTCTCAGACTCAGCTGATATCTCTGCTCCTTGTGTCTCCCACAATCACCCCCACAGTTGTTTCCTATACCCCCCCCACTCTGCTTAGGGGAGAGGAGGGGACTGTATTTATAGAGTGCCCACAGTGTGCCTGTTACTGTGCTGAGGGCTTTTTGCACTATTTTACTTCCTTTAACACTCAGGGCCTCCCTCTGAGGTCTGTATTATCGTGCCCAGTTATCTGATTAGGAAGGTGAGCTTGGAGTGGTCCAGTGACTTGTTGAAGGTCATACCCAGGAGGCTCTGCAGAGGGGTGGAGCTAACATTTGAGAGGGGACACCCCAGCCCTCCCCACCTGTCTCTCCCAGGGTCAGAGTCTCTGGCTGAGCTAGGGTTGAGTTCTCCTAGGAGGCAGGAGCACAGGCTACTGGGCTCTGGGCTCTTACAGAAATCTCCCCGACCCTAGCTTTCCCCTCATCTGATGTCTAGTCACTCTAGAAGGCCATAACCTGACATGGAGGAGGTTCATTGCGTGTCCAATTATTGGCAGAGGAAGCCAGAGTGTGCACTCAGCAGCCGGCATTAAAGAGAAGTATGCACGGCCCCTTGACTTCCCTTGTGTTAAATATGAGTTGTTATTGTTAGCAAATGGTAATTAAGTCTTGGAATCCAGAGGCCATCATAGCAGGTCCTGGCTTGGCTGCCTGGAATGCCCATTGAGCCCTTTCCTGGCTTTTCCGTGCTCTCACGGGCTTGGGGTGCTTTGGGTCAGCTGTGGTCTGCCTCATTAACAGTTTAAGGCCAGCCTCGGTCCTGTCCTCTGCAGGAGATGGAGCCCAGCTCCACAGTGTCTCCTGCCTCTGCCCCCAGCTCCAGCTGGAGTCGCCAGCTGTGTGACCAATGCTTGGTTTTAGAATTGAGTATGCTACTTCAATTTTATTTTGGGAATAGTAGTAGTGGAGGGGTCTGCCCTTGGTGCCCCCTTCTGCAAAAGCAAACGGACTTACCCTGAAGCACGGAGGATTTAAATTAGACTGACCAAGACAATTACATGATTCTTGCTTGGATGCCTTTCTGGGTTCTGATAGTGGATGGAGCGGACTTTTTGCGCTGTCAGTCAGTGAAGATGTTAAGAATCTGCCTTTGCCCACACAGATCATTATACTTGCACTTAAAATCCAGAGAGACAGAAGAGCTGCCGGCTGAGTGGTACCTATTATGAACACAGCCAGGAGATGGAATTGACGGGCTTGACATCGAGACCACAGTGGTTTTCCAGCATGTTAATAACACTAATCCCTGATCCAGCCCCAGGGAAAGCATGCACATGGTGGAATGCTATTCACACAAAGATTGAAGGTAGGCAAAACACAACAGTAGTTTAGGGATACACTCATATGATGAGGAATAAAGCAAAGCAAGATGGGAGGCCAAGGCGGGAGGATCACTTGAGGCCAGGAGCTCGAGACCCGTCTGGCCAACCTAGCAAGACCCTGTCTCTACAAAAAATTGTTTAAAAAATTAGCTGGGTGTGGTGGTGTATGCCTGTAGTCCCAGAACTTTGGGAGGCTGAGGAGGGAGGATCACTGGAGCCCAAGAGTTTGAGGCTGCAGTGAACTATGATTATGCCATTGTACTCCAGCCTTGGTGGTGACAGAATAAATAAGACCCTATTTAAAAAAGAAAAAGAAAGAGAAAGAAAAAAACAAGGGAATGATTAACATAAAAACCTAAGATAGCAGCCACTTGGGGGTCGGAAGCGGTTAGGGATGGATAGTGCTGAGAGCAGCCAGAGTCCTGCAGGGGACTTTCAAGGTACTGGTGGGGACACAGGATTTCTTTTTTTTTTTTATGGCATCGGCGACTGGGGGGAAGAAGAAAGAGAGAAAGAGAGAGAGAGAGAGAGAGAAAGAGACTGGACCCCTGTCTAGTGCAGAAGCCCGATTTCTTTTCTTATCGTTGCTATTTGTATCAGTAAACGCATGCTTTACTAACTCTTCTGCATGCTTGAGAAATTGATCAAACAGAAGGAAAGTGCCAACAGCAGCTGTGCTCACCAGCCCCTGCTCAGTCCTCCAGTTTAGAGACACCCCCTCACCTAAGGCTTCCTGCGAAGTCTTGGGACCGGCATCCCCAGCCCCAGTTTCTTACCCTCCTGTTGATCTTCCACACTGCCTTCTTGAATCACATCTCACACCAGGCCACTATTCTGCTCAGGCATCTTCTGTGCCTCCCAGTGTCCACTCGGTATCTTAAGTCCTCAGCTCCACACAACTGCCCCAACTAAAGCAGCCTCCCCCTCCCCTACTTTCCTTTAAGGCTCGTCCCAACTCAGGGACTTCCATTGACCCCTCTCGGCTCATGGCATGGCCCCCTACCATCCCCTGTCTCTGAGGCCTCCCGGTCAGAACTCTGTGACTGCAGAGTGAGGTAACAAAGCCCCCAGGAAGAAGAGGCTGAGTTCTCAGAGGCCAGGATTCTGGGAGCTCTTGGGCTGGAGCCAAGTCTGGCGCTTAAGAGGTTTGGAGGAGACTACAGCTCCTTTGATCATGGTGAGACTTGGCCCTGGGGTTTCATTGGTCACACGGATGAGGGGTCTTGGGCTCCACCCAGGTCTGCTGCCCTGGCCAGGCAAATGCTGGGTGTACGGCGTCCAGGAAGAGGAGCGGGAAAGAGAGGGTGTGCAGGAAGACAGCAGAGATTAAATGATGTTTGCAGTTGGTTCCTACCTGCCATCTGCCAGAAGGAAAACTACACTGGGCTGGTGTGAACAGTTCCTGCTCTCTGGGTGGAGGAAAGAGCATGGCTTTTTCCGTCCCTTGGGTGGAGAGAGAACAGCATGGGCTTCAAATGCAGCCTGGCCCAGCTGTTGGCAGGGTGCCCCACTTCCCTCTGGGTCCCTTATTCATTTTGTGCATGGTCAAGACCATTAACATCTGCTTGTCCAAGGTAAGACCACAGGATGGTGACATCCACCTGGCCTACTTCACACGTGGTGGGTAGGCCCCTGTGTGATGGCAGCAGTGACAACGTGGAGAGTGTCAGGCACTGATGCCCCAGCCGCCAGTTCCTTGGCACTTTTGGGAGACGCCCGCTGGTTTGTTGGCTCTGCTCCCCACAGTGGCCTCGGGCTTGAGGAAGGAGATGGCATCTAGATTCCTGTCACTGGTTTCTGATCAATAACATTCTAGTTAAGAATGGCTCTTTGTATTCTTAGATTTTTTTTTTTTTTTTTTGAGTGGGAGTCTCACTCCGTCGCCCAGGCTGAAGTGCAGTGGCACGCTCACGGCTACCCCAGCATCGACTTGCGGGGCTCTGGCGATCCTTCTGTCTTAGCCTTCCAAGTAGCTGGAAATACAGGCATGCGCTACCACACCCAGCTGATTTTTTTATTTATTGTAGAGACGAGGCCTCGCCAGGTTACCCGGGCCGGTCTCGAATCTGTGGGCTCAGGTAATCCACTAGCCTCGGCCTCCAAAGTGCTAGGATTACAGGTTGAGCCACTGAGCCTGGCCATCTTAGCTTTTTTAAAGTTTTTTTTCTTTTTCTTTTTCAAGACAGAGTCTTGCTCTGTCACCCAGGCTGGGGTGTAGTGGTGGGATTGTAGCTCACTGCAGCCTCCTGGGTGATCTTTCTTCCTTAGTCTCTCCAAGTAGCCAGGACTACAGGTGCACACTGCCATGTCCAGCTATTTTTTTTTTTTTTTGTAGTAGAGATGGGGTCTTTCTATGTTTCCCAGGTTGGTCTTGAACTCTTGGCCTCATATGATCCTCCCACCTTAGCCTCCCAGTTAGAAATATTTTTAAAGTTAGAAATTATTGTTGAATTTTATTAAATGTTTTTTGTACTAACTTAGATGATCAGATAATAATTGATTTCCATAGCTCCCCTTAGCGATCGTTGCCCTGCATTGCTGTCCTTTGTGCCCGAGTTCAGGCTCCCTTTGGTTTCTCCTGACCTGGTGGAGCACCAGCCACTTGCAACAACCCTGGGGATAGAAAAGATAATCAAGCTGGGCTCAGTGGCCCAGCCTGTAATCCCGTGCCTTTGGGAAGTTGAGGTGAGTGGATTGCCTGAGCCCGCGGGTTCGAGACTTGCCTGGGCAGGCGAGACCTCATCTCTACAATAAAATAAAAAATTTGCCGGGTGTGGTAGCACGCGCCTGTAATTCCGGCTACATGGAAGGCTGAGGTGGAAGGATCGCCGGAGCCCAGCAGGTCGAGGCTGTGGTGGCCAGGAGCGGCCACTGCACTCCAGTCTGGGCAACAGAGTGAGACTCCAACTCAAAAAAAAAAAAACCAAAAAAAGATAATCATCCCCATTTCACAGATGGGGCCACGGATGCCCAGAGAGGTCAGATGACCTCTAGTGACAGCAGGTGGATGGGAGAGTTCCAGAACCGTTCGCCCTGCCTGCTCTACTCATCTATCCCCTGCCCTCCTCTGCTACTTCAACCCACAGTGTGAAGAGGTAACGGCGACCGTGCAGAAACACACGCAGAACCTGAGGCACAGCAAGGAGGACCTAGACAGGCTCAACCAGGCCATCCAGGGGCTGACCATAGAGGTGGGCAGCACTAGGAGTCAGGTGAGGGGTGCCAGTGGGGGTGGCAGCGTGGTAATGGCGGGAGGGTGACCACTGTCCATGATGACTAGGCTAGACACCACCACCCCCTCATCCTGGAATAGATGGGTAGTGTTTCTTTTTGTCTGAGCAGACAAGATTGTGACTGCCCATGCATATTGTGTTCACCTTTGCCTAAGACTTGATGTATTTCATTTGGATAAGTAATGAACTTATATAAATGTATATGAGTGAATATACCTGTTGACCCAGCTGACTCACCCACCTGGTCAACCAACCAACTCAGTCATCCTATTACCCTAACTAACTCAGCCATCTAGTTAACCTAACAAATATCACCATCTGGTTGACCCAGGTGACTTGGCCATCTGGTCTACCTTGTCATCTTGTACATTTTTATGTCTGTTTATGTTTTTCTTACTTAGCATAAATTTGAACTCATCTTCAGAAATGACAAGATGTTATCTAGAAACTCCGTTTTCTGGGTTCTATTTTAAAATCTGAAGACATGGTAATGTTAAACTATGATTCCAAGTGGTAACATTTGGCTAGAGAAGATAGGCCTTAATTTTCTCTCTCTCCTTCACATAAGATGTATGCTCCCTGGTGTGTCACAGTCCCCACCACTCCCAACTGCATCCTTTAGCGGCAAGGCAATGGCTCCTTTGCCACGTGTCACCCCCTGGCTGCACCATTATTGTCTCTGTAGAAAAGGTGTTGAACCTATGTCTCTAAAGTCAGGAAATAAGAGTGAAAATCCGAATGAGTTCCTGGGGATTTCAGGAAAATGGGAGAGACCATATTTGTGGAACTGCACACTCTTGAAATATGGTCGACCTTTGGCCTTCGCCTTTTGATGTGTCAAGCCAGGCCCCAGGAGGCATTTGTGCTTGTAACTCTGGTTTGAGCCTTAGAAAGGCTTCTTTCTTCACCTCTGTCTCCTTTCAGCCTTTGCCTTTTTTCCCAGGAGGAAAATGCCCTTGGCTCACGTCCCACCCCAAAGAGGGAAGTGCTTCTGCTCCCAGGTTTTTCTTACCTGCTGCAGATGCAAGGGTCTCAGGATTGTAGGGGTATTCATGGAGAGAGAATCTCTCCCTTGACCGGGACTTTAAGGAGGGCTGAGCTGCTCAGTCAGGTTCCCGGGGACAGTGTGAGTGGGTAGGCTGTCGCGATTCAGTCCCACCAGCCACAGCTGCTCTGGTTT